AATATTTCTGGCTTTCCGTGCGCTTGTTTGGTGTGCGGATGTATTAACAGATTCGAACACTCTGGAAGATGTAGTATTGGTTGTCCGATTCCTTGAATAAGAGTTGGAAACCACGTTCTCGCTGGTCAGTAGGGCTCGACCAAATTCAGATGGAGGCTCTTGCGTTCAACTGATTTTGAGTAAGACTTGTGGGATTAACGCTGGTGGCGGAAAGCGTACGCGTTGAGTCCTTCCCACGATATGCTTAGTGCGTCCGTTGCCCATGCTAGTGGGTCTGGAACTGGCGATACGAATGTTGTCAGTTGTTTGTTGAATCGAGTGGCAAATAGGTCTATTAGTGGAGTTCCTATTTCCTTGATAATTTGAGTGAATATCTCTGTATGGAGCATCCATTCTGTCGGCGATGGTAGGTGTGGCCGAGAGAGAGCCTCTGCTATTACATTCTTTGCTCCTGGAATGTGACATGCTCTGACATGTATGTTGAGATTGTCGATTAAATCGAACAATTGAAAACATAGAGTCAATAGGTTCGGGGACCTGGTTGAGCTTAGTTTGTTCACATAAAACGCCACTGTCGAATTGTCTGTGTGAATCATCAACTGAGCATTCTGTATTAAGTTGCCCCAGTGCATTATGGCGTTATCACTGCTTGCATCTCTAGCAGATTTATGTCTAATTTGCTCTCTTGATTGCTCCATAGCCCTGATGCCGTCCTGTTGGCGAGATGGGCTCCCCAACCTTGTAGTGACACGTCTACGTAGAGATGTGTTTTCGATTCTGGCTCTATTAAAGAGACGCCTACGCAAACATTCGATCTCTTGGTCCACCATAGTAGGTGAGGTTTGACGTGATCCGTTAAACTGAACGGTAGAGAGTCGTCGAGATGCGAATTGATGATGACTTGTAACGGACGTAATTGTAGTCTGACTCTGACTGTCATGTCTTGAGCTGAAGTGAGTAACCCCAACAGGCTCTGCCACTGTCGTAGTGGTAGCGGAGAGAGTAAGGCTTGTGGGATTGACTGTTGGATCTTGATCCATGGTCCTCCGGTACAATTATACGATTCTGCGCCGTTACAAATCAAATACCTAGAAATTGCAGATCTTGCGTAAGTTCTAGGTCCGACTTAAGTAGATTTACTAACCATCCTAGTTGTGTTAGTAGCTAGATGATGAAATTCAACTGTAGTCTGAGACGCTGTGGATCTAGATCCACTTGTATCCCGTCGTCGAGGTAAACTCGCTGCGAAGTCCTTGACAATGTAGGTGCACAACCAGGGGTGACTGCCATCGTTGAACTTTATGTAAAAAAATCGCCTGACTGCCGTGCCCTCGTCCTTACTTGACAGGGGAGGTGTCTAACCTCATGAAGGCAGCCCAATCATGAAGGTTCAGATTAACTGGACTGTATGGAGGCTTGCTCATTCACTGATATGTTGTTGTCACTTGCAACCTATGTCTTGAACTGTGAACTATGATCGACTTCTGCGTAGGGCGTTGTCCATCGCGGTCCAATCAGAACAAGGCATTTTGATTCTGTAGTGTACCCGCGCTGTGATGTCACCGGTGTAGCAGGAAAAGGAACCTTGTATAATTTAGTGCCGTCGTTGATATTAGATCAATTGTCGGTCTTGTCCGTAGCTTCCCGGAGTTACACGAGTGACCACGTGTTTCGAGGTTTAATGGTAAACGCGCGAATCTTTTGGCGCGAATTACCTCGCCCTGTAATATTAATGCTGGGTAGGTTATTTTCCTGGCTGTTGTGAATGTAACTTCAGTCTTGAAGATAATGCCGACTTCCTTATATATAGGCTCAATAAAACTTGCAAGTTGTCAGCTTGTAGACTGCATACATCAATGTAGCGCTATAATTGTAGAATTAAAGCTGAACTTGTACATATTTCTTCTCAGGAAATCGTTGACGATTATGTGTTTTACTCGCTGTAACAAGGCTGCTGCTAAATTCCGTTATTGAATTGTCTGCAGATCTGCGTAATGGTCATGCATGTAGATAATCGTATCGTAGTCAGGGATTGCATACCTAGCAATATATACGGAAATGGTGATTCCTGTGAAGATCTGCGAAACGTCGTTGATGCCCTTGATGTAGGTAGTCGGCCTGAAGATCCTTAATTAGGCTCTTCATCTGTAAAATAGTACTTCGCGTAACTATATAACGTTCTGTTTTGTAAATAGCCTGTGCGAATGCCTTCGCGTCGCGTAGGCTTGTAGACGGCATGTGGCATACAGTTGATAGACAAGTACTGCGATGTCTCTGTTCGCTGGATACTTGTGTGTAAATCGGCGAGGGGATCGACATGGTGAATAACCCGACGAACTGTGTAGGGTGACCTGTAGTTTCGCTAAGGTCCTAATGAATCCCTCGACAACTATAGGACGAAGATGTCTTGAACGGACTGACGAGTGGTTTCTATAGGGAGACCTTCGTGGAGCTTCCTTGGCGAACGATGGTGGCTTCGCGAAGCTCTCGGTGAATCCCTTATAGATCTTCTGAATGAAGATGACTTGGAGCCACTTAACCTTCGTGAAGGCCTTCATAAAGGCCTTCGTGAAGGTAGCGAGTCTGAGTCCGACTCATTAGATAGGAGCTTGCTTCGCGAACGACCTCTGTGTTCTTCAGGGTCTGAGCTCGGTGAAGCACTCCTCCTCCGTGAAGCCTTTCGCGAATGGTGAGGATCTAGGTCCTTCGTGGAGGCGGACTGGGACGTCCTTCGCGAAAGCTTCGATACGGGCTGGGTTGCCCTTCATGGAGGCGCGTTTGTGGGCTCTGGGGCCCTACGCGAAGTCATAGCGGGCTCTGGGGCCCTACATGACTTATTATGGGTTGGGCTCTGGGGCCCGCGGCTCTGAGGCCTCTGTAAACCGTATCGGTCTTCCATCAACATCATAATCTGGTTGACCAGATCGTCTGGGACGGTCTGCGCTGACGTTGAGGCTGCCCTCTCTGTGGTAGCGACGGGACCCTCAGTTAGAATCTCAGCCGTCAGCGTAGGCATCTCTAGTTGCGTGTTGATCTGTGCTGAAGTGACGGTAGCCGATACTGGTCGCTTCTTATGCTGTACACTGGAATGATAATCGGAATGTCATCATCATATAAACACAATTCTGAAACAGGTAGAATGTCAGATGAAAAGTTTTTAGTAGCCTTCGTGGGTTTCCTTTTCGACGAAGCTGTAGCCCTGGGGGTGCGGAGCGTATGCGTTGTGACGACGTGGAAGCTCTCCTAGTCTTAGACTGTGATGATCGAATGTCCTGGGATGCAGGTCGCTTCTTGGATATAGCGGACTGCGTCCCACGCTTCTCCCCTGAAGGTAACTCAGGCGGAACACCAGACGGTAGAGGGTCGTGCGCCAACAGTTGACAGGGTATATCTGACTCTGATCTATCAGCCATGACTGAAGATTGTTTCCGAGATCTATCTGCTGCACGTCTCAAGACGTAATATAATATTTATCAAAGGCAGAATTAGACAATTTAATACATAAATTGCAGCGTGAAACAATAGAGCATGGCGTTGTACAACTAGGGCATATTAATGCGGATCGGCAGCAGAGAAACGTAATTTACAATCAGTGCAGATTTTTATTAACGCAATCTGCTGAGCAAACACGGCGAACCGTGAATAAAGCAGCAGAAACACGAATAAACATCAATGCATGTTGAATAAGGATACTAGTTACACCTCTATAGATGAATATAAGAGGTAACAAAATAAATATAAATAAAGGATATAGTGTGTAGGGAGACACAGGCGCTCTCACGTCCTGCTCACTGGGCGAACAAGGAGAGAGTGAGGCACATGGCAGGAGGTGGCGCCCTCGTTCCCGCGCTTTGAGGGGACAGATAACTCGGGAGTACTAATTAGTGATTTTACATTGAAGGGAACTTCAATTGGGAGATACAAGTGTTCCACTGTGTTCGCAAGAAGAAGGAGACAAGCAAAAGAGCATGAGTCAGGATAAGGAAAAATATGCATTAATGTCAGAATAATGTTAACAAGAAGACAAAGTCATCAATATCCCCAGCAATGGCAAAATACTCTTCATGATTATGTCTATGAGTTATGATTATGTCAAATATTTAGGTGTGTATATAGAAAAGTGGAAGGAGAGTATTGAAAGGTTTTTAAGTTCTGCTCCGGAAAAGAGCACTACCACCAATTTCAGGCTAAGTCAAACTTGTTGCCACGGAAAAGCCAAAAATAGTTTATTCGGAATTCCAAAACTACCAAAAGGCACCAGTACACCATCAGATCTATCTATGTGCCAAGTTTGGTGAAGAAATAGTGAACGGTTTTAGAGTTCAGCTCTGGAAAAGAGCACTACCACCGATTTCATTCTAATTTGAACTTGTTGCCACGGAAACGCCAAAAATATTTTATTCAGAATTCCAAAACTACCAAAAGGCACCAGTACACCACCAGATCTATCTATGTGCCAAGTTTGGTGAAGAAACATTGAACGGTTTTAGAGTTCAGCTCCAGAAAAGAGCACTACCACTAATTTCAGTCTAAGTCAAAACTTGTTGCCACGGAAACGCCAAAAATATTTTATTCAGAATTCCAAAACTACCAAAGGGCACCAGTACACCACCAGACCAATCACTCTGCCAAGTTTGGTGAAGAAATAGTGAACGGTTTTAGAGTTCTGCTCCGGAAAAGACAAATGTGCACGGATGGACGGACGGACGGAGTCCATTTTAATACCCCCAGCAAAACGCGGGGGATAAAAACAGGGAGAAATATTCAATGTGGCCATGTTTGAAGTTGACTGGGAATTTTGTACACAGAGACACAATTTGTTTCAGGTCCAAAGACCTTGTAGTTAGAATACGACACATAAACATAAAAGTAAAGGACAGAAGGACAACATATCATAACAAACTACCATGGCAAAGTGAGCTCAAAAGTTACTAATACTCTTGAAAATTGTCAGGTAGCAATCACATACTGCAGTCTTCAGAGCATTTATGGCGACCTACCTTGAAATTTTCTCCAAATTCTTTTAGATCTGCTATTGTTCTTCCTGAAACAACACAAGGCAACATTACAAATGAAACAATTCGAAGGTAAGCCCATAAAGGTCAACCAAGAACTATAACAAACTTGCAAACGTGTAGCATTTGTTCTTGAGACATCACAGACCTAAATATGTCACAAAATATTGCCATAATGATAAATACTTCACACACGATAAATACATATCCCTTACACACGATAAAAATCATTATACGTACAATAGGGTTCAATGGATAATCTCATTACAATATGTGACGTCATGGTTCTCAATCAATGGATTCAACAAGCAGCTTCTATTTTTTTCTTGACTGCATTAAACTTACAGAATGAAAGTAGGTTAAAGTGTAACAGTCAAATGGACAGTGTGTTGCCTGCTGTTAATCTATGGGGGAATGGCAAAAGGACATCATCATAAAAAAAACACAGAATGATCAATATGCAGACTTTACATATTTAAATTTTACATAGGCAAAAATGCTTCGCTAAATTTAAACTTTTAAGCAGATCCTTGTTCCCACAATGAGTGACATTTTCTTTTACAAATGTGATTACCTATTGCTATTTTATCATAAATCAAAACAATAGCTATCATTGTTAATAATTCAGTATCATTGTAATGGCAGCCAGAATACAGGAGTTAAGGCAGTGAATTAAAGATGTTTATGTATTTTCACAATTTGAAGGCATTTTCATGAAAATTGCCAAAGAAACTTTATGAATGAACTTCACTGTGACCGTGATGTTATTCACACGTAACTAACAACCTGATGGGATCTCATTCCTGATCTGAAAAAACACTTTTCATCTTTCATCAACAAACAGTTAATCAGCTAACTCTGGTCTGTCACCCAGACTGTAAACAACAACTTAAGGAGTCCATCTCAAATCTAAAATGATAAGACAAGTCTCAGCTCTTAAGTCTGTCCAAATTGGCAGGGCTCACAGGCGAGTTTCCGGCCTGTTTTTATCAGTACACTGTCCACGGGTGGGCCAATTCACACCTCTAGAACTAGTATCCAATTTCTAAACTTAATGTGTGCCAGCTGTGGGAGCTCACAATTACACAATTTACAAGGTTTTGTCTTTAGGAGGAATTGTTGGAACTGTTCATGCAATATACACAGACATATTTGCTGTGGATTGTAGCAAATGCAGAAGGCAATACTGACTGCAGTAAGTTCAATACTTAACACATCCATCTGAATCAGGAAAAAGTTTTGAATGGAAGGTGTGAGTTATTTTGTTCACCAAATGTAAGAGAAAAGTCTGTTGCATTTGAAAATGATTCATTCATGTACAAAAAGCAGGAAAACCCAAGAAAAGCAACAGTCTTGGACAGCTGTGCCATTCAGGGAAGAGAAGGATGGAGGGTGCAACTATGCCTGCAGAATAGCAGTGGCATGTAACTGACAATTTTCAAACGAAAAGACATCTGCAGAAAGAGGTACAGGCATCCCTCGCCATAACGCGGGTCTTGGGGTCCATGGATGACCCCCCGCGTTATAAGACACCCGTGTTAAAGTAACGATTACATAACGCGGAAGAAAGTCCAAGTAAAATCGTATTTTCCATGGAAATAACAAAACTGCTATTTCGTGTATTGTGCCCAGTCAAAACTATATCGTATTGTTGGAGGTGAAAAAAAACCCAAAACTTTGTAAATCAAAAATAGATGTATGTACATGAAACTTGCAATCAAACATCACAAGACATGATAATTCCATTGTTATTCCTGTCATGCTACCTGTTATTCAACTAAGCCGGAAATAGCAATCAGCTGGGCACACATCAATGTTTTGGTCCCGGTGTTTTCAGTTAAAAACGATCCGAAAATATAACATCCAAGAATTTCTATTCCATTATCAGAATAATTTATATGTCAAGCAGTTATTCTAACAGAGATCTTATATATTGCTATCGTATAAGTATAATGCATGTTTTCTACGAACATAGTTAATATAGAACATAGAACATTGCTAAGCACTTTGGGTTACCTGGCTGGATACATTTTACGTAGGAGACAGTTTGACAAGTCACCGCTGACTTCCCGCGGTACGTGCCACTTTGATTGTAAAAACAAAATGTTGGCAATTAATTGTCAAATATGACTTCAATGAGTCAATAACGCGGGACTTGGGGGTCAATGGATGACAAGGCTGTAATCTGTTCGTGATTGCTGAGAAAAATGTGAAATTGGTGCTATCGCGGTAGGCGCGAAAAACGGACCCGCACGATCAATATGGTAAGCGGCCGTTGTATGGAATGAGGTAATGCCATTTCACTCAAAACTTCAAAACACACTTTTTGAATAACTTTCATCATGATCTTGACCTTCTACGTAGCTTACTCCTTTTCTTTTCAGATCTCATCATTACCATACTAGGAATTCAAAGAAAAACATAAAAAGGTACTGTACCTGTCTTTTCATTATTTACATTTATTTAGTTCATTGAGAGGTTTAAGAGGTGCTTTACCAGCATCCTTTTCCTGACCTAATTTGTCATAAAAACTTCTGGACTTACCCCTTGGATTTGGATTTCTCCTATCTCCCTTGCTGGATGCTGATACAGAATCAGATTGAGGAGATGTGGAATTGTCCCCAGCTGTTACAGTCACCGGGGAAAGTTGCTGGGATAATCCTCCACCTGATACTGTGACTAATGAAGCTGGCTCTGGACTAGATTTGTTTACAATAGGCTCAATTTGTTTCTGATCCTTATCTGCAAAGTCAGGAGAGAATTAATTATTTAAAAAACAATAGAGCTAGAGCACTGTAGCTCACCAGGATATGATGTCAATAGCATTAATTGTCAAAAGAGGGAGCTGTCATAAGCAGTTTGTCAGTATACAATACTGTAAATCTAATTTACACCTCTTGAACAAACTGGGGTGTCATCAATGGTGGGTACCAGCTTCACTAGATCAGGCCTATCTATATGCCAAATTTGGTGAAGAAACATTGAACAGTTTTGCTCGGAAAAAGAGCACTAACACCAACTTTAGTCAAAGTCAAAGTTGTTGCCATGGAAACGCAAAAAATATTTTATTCAGAAATCTGAAACTACCAAAAGGTTCACCACCAAACCTTTGTGCCAAGATTGGTGAAGAAACACTGAATGATTTTTAAGTTCTGCTCTGGAAAAGACGAATTTGCACGGACACAGGGACGGAGACCAAAATTATACCCCCGCAAACTGTGTCGCGGGGGATAACAAAAGAAGTCATTGATTGACAAGTGTCGATTTTGCTATTGCCAGACTGCACCAGTGCAGGTAAAATATTGCCAGTGCAGGTGATTTTTATTGTTGCGCTGCACCCTGTGCAGGAAAAGTGTTCCATCACAAGTGCATGGTTGCAAATGATATTGATACAAATTTCCCAAATTGAGTGAGACTTCTCCACAAGCATCAGGATGTGAAAAATGAAAACAGGTCTGTTTTCCTGCTCATAAATATGCTAAATAGACCACACACTGTGTACAGACCCTGTGTACACAATCTTGAGACATTTCAGGGAAAATTATAGATCAATGATCAATACGTCCCTTGTTGTGCTGGATAAGTTGATTTTGCAGACTGCACGCAAGTGGGAAAGAAATTAAATTTATGAATGAAAATGTCACTTAAAAAGCAACCATCTGTCAAAAGATTCTTTAAGACATGCATTATTCCGAGCAGAATGGGACTTGGCAAAGCATTTTATTTGTTATTTAAAAGTTCATTTCAAAGTGATAAACAAAATTGGGGTGATGAAATCACTGCTCTCCCTAACCTGTATCCCCATGTTTAAGTTTGACCTCTCCACTGAACTTTCTTATCTAAGGAGAGCTATAATATACTCGCTCCGTTGCAGATCCACAAAAAATTCTTTGAGAACGGGCAGATGCTCTTCTGGATGTAAGGAGGATGTTTAGGTTAGGATGGGTTAGGTTGTGGATGGCAGATCTTATGCATTTGTGTTTGTGAGGTTGAGGTGACGTGGTGTTCAACTTTATATTACAGATTATTGCTCTGTTACAGTTTTTATGGTAGTCATACTGAAACTTTAGTTCAAACCTCTTCAACAAACGTACTGAAGTCTCATCACAGGTTCAGTGGTTTCTGAAGAGAATATGTTTAAAATGACAGATTCACAAACAGGATATAACATAAGCTCACTTGATGATGAGTCAAGTAAGCTAAAAACAAAGCACAGCAGCAGTCAAAATCCTGACAAAACCTGAAAGAAACTTCCACATTTACAATTGAAAATACAAGCACATCATACTAAGCATATTTGGAAAGATACATTCTTACATGATGATGATGATTTGGAGATTTCCTTTCCAACATAATACATATTTCACACAGACTACAGTAAACGCATATATACTCACCCCCATTTATACTTGCACTTATATTGGGAGGTATATGTTCATCTTTTGATCCTAATGAGTAATTAATTGCTGACGTTTGATGTAAGTGTTGAACTGGAGCTGGAAGTTGCGTTTTATGTGGAGATATCTGTCTCTGCTGCCCACCATGATCAGACACTGTTCTCCTTGGGGGCATTCCAGTGTTGCCCCTTCTATTATGAGGAGGGATATACCTGCAAGAATGAAAATCCAATGCCCATGAGTATTGATCTCTTCACTAAACTTTTCATGATTATTCTCAAACATTCAAAATCATAAACTGCCATAACAAAATTATTGATATTGTTGTGAAACTTTCAAGACAATGGCTGTGGCTATAAGAAACAACCAACATTATCTGTACAAGTACAAGTATGCCAATGAAGAATGCAAAAAGGACATCAAACAGATACAGTATCAATTTTTGCTTGCATCTTCATGGGTCAGAAAACTTACATGATGCAAGAAAAAGAACACAGTCATCCATCATTCTCATCCTTCTATGCATATTTCCATACAGAAGTTTGCTTATTTTGGCAATGGTAATATTGTTTGGTCTTTTTCCTTTTCTTTTCTGAGAGGTTTCAATCATTATTAAACCATGGTTTACAGATATGTGGACTTGAGCATAACATATTCATCCATTTGTGAGAATTTCTTAAACTGTAAGTCATACAATATCTTGAATAATGACAAATATCTCTGTGCAAATATATAGTGCCTTACATAGCACAATTAAACAGCCCTGTACTTACTTTCCAGAGCCATTTCCAGCTTGTCCTCTCATCTCCGAGGGTCGTAAAACAGCACTAAACTTTGCTTCTTCTTCTCCATCTCCATTTTCTAGATCTATCCTGGCCTTGTACTCTTCACTTCTTTCAATTTCTTTGGCTATCCTAGCTGCCACTTCTTCACGTTGCTTATATTCTTTGGTATCTTTTTTCTCTAGCTGTGTTCTACAGGAAAAACACAGACATCCTAAACCTGATATCTACTGCTATTAATCATTTAGACAGGAGGATGTGATGAAAAAATCAGCTACAAGAATCTTTCTGAACGTGTACATTGTGGTAGCATGGCACTGCCAAAAGCAAGAAATGTTGATGTTTATAATGACCTTCAATTTTGACAAATATGAAACATGTAATTGAATTTCCACTCTATTTCTCTGACAATGAAGGCAAAATTCATTGTTACCTTGTTTTGTCCTTATATGGTCAAACCTTGCAATTGGAAAAGGGGTGTAATCACCACACAATTTACATGTGACAAAGTTTATGTCAGATTATACCGGTAAGTAATTTGTCTCACCAACTCACATATAGCATAAGACTCAACTCAAACTAAAAGCTTTCAGATATTTCAAGGATAAAAAAAAATACACAAAGGGACAATCTAGAGGTCAATGAACATTATGAACTGTTTTTTACAGCCTTTTTACAAGGATTTGTAAACAAATGACAGCAATTAAGATTTGAAAAGACAAAGAAATTTCAAGTTTTGAGAGAGAAAAAAATGCTTAAAGTCATATCCACTTGTGTCTGGGTGTAAGATAATAAATGCAGAGAACAATTCATACCGTGACCACATAATTGCAAATTATAAGGAATTTTTCACTGAAATATGACATGATAGGTGGTAGCAAGGTGTGAAATGTCATTTCACAACTAGGAGCACACAAATGTGCATTTACATTAACACTCACACAGTCAGGAACCGTGAGTTAGAAGCCAGAATCTTGTAAACCTCTATTTAGTTGAGTAAACTGGGTGCAAAATAACAATATGCTGACACTAAAATGTACAAAACATGACATTAAGAATGAACTCAAACAATTTTGATAGAGAGGAGTGTCTGGCAGTTATAGGCATAATATTAATGTAATCAGAATCTCTAATGAAAGCCATCTCATACTGTTGGGGCTCATTAACTCTTTCAACACCAATCAACCTGGGTCTTTTACTACAATGACACTGATTTCCCAGAGACTGAGGTCATAGATGAAGCCTATGTTATCAAGGAAAATATCAGCTTGTAAAACATCATGCTACAGTTTATAAATATGGTTATTCTTTATCATATTACTCAAATAATACAATCACAACTAAATAAGTTAAATTTTAATGAAAATGCAAGCTTACACATTTATATGTTCAGATAAAACATGAAGGAAGCAAAAAATGCATGGACTTTTTCCATTTGTAATATGTCATAACATCCCCTTACATTTTTCTTTTATATTTTCATTTAACATAATTGGTAAATTATTTTTAAACATTCTGAAATATTATGTATGGTCATCTATGTCTCCATATCAGTGGCTTTCTGCTTGGTAACGTGACACAACAGTGGGAAATAACTCATAAGCTCTTCATAAGCTCCATATGAATAACATGCGAGGCAATTCGCTTGATGGCAGGTATCGTTTGAAAGCTCTGAGCATACCTAGTGTGGAGTTTGGCACTATATAAATGGACACATTATTATTATTATTATTATTTCACATCAACAACAGAACTGTATCGTGTTTGCTAAGAGTATTTTCGCATTTGTAAGAAGCGATTTTCTTGGATAAAGACTGGTTTCTAATGACACGTTTTTGCCACAGTCTGCAATAAGGATCGTCATTGGTCAAGATCATACACGTGACCTAAGGCAGCCAATCATATTACCGCAATGGATACCGTCCTCAGAAACGAAAGATGTTAGATTTAGAAGAAAGTTTTGGGTAAAATCATACTATTCTGAACGTATTACGCAAAACATAACCACCTATATGTAAATTATGGAACTTAGTGGACGTACCATGCTAGGTTATGACCTGTGACAAAAATGTAATTTTTAGAGTAAAATTGATATTTTATACTTATCCTGACTCATGCTCTTTTGCTTGTCTTCTTCTTCTTGCGAACATAGTGGAACACTTGTATCTCCTTATTTGAAGCTCCCTTCAAAATAAAATCACTAATTGGTACTCACCACGAGTTGCTCCCCTTTGTCTCCCCTGGCGGGAAAAGGTGTCGCCACCCTCTGGCCATGTGCTCCACTCTCTCCTGATTTAGCGAGCCCAACACTTGAATTTACAGGGAAATCCAAAGTGTTATGTGGGGAGGATGGGAGGGCTAACCTCATGAGTCAGGATAAGTATAAAATATCAATTTTACTCTAAAAATTACATATTTTTCCTTATCCTGACTCATGCTCTTTTGCTTGTAGCATCCTACGGAACGGAGGTGGGTAACAGAATACTTTGGATTTATAATTAGTGATTTTGTATAGATATACTGTAATATCCCCTACGGGAACTTCATGAAGGCTTAGATTTAGGATGTTTCCTGTATAAAAAAACCATAGGTTATATAAAGCCATTAAAGGGGAATTACATTATGAATATATTGAACAATACATATAAATTATATATATATATATAGGTGACTCTGATAGAGGCACTGAAATTGACTATACCAAAGTATATGCTTAAGGTTGAATACTTAAGCTGAACATATATACATAGCCCTAAAACTCCGTGAGAGTTATAAGCTAGATGAGTATGTATAAAATACATATTAATCTTGTGAGGATAATATTTTAACGCCCTCACGAGGGACTGTCAGTTGCTGAGCGAGGACCAGTGGTCCGAATGGTGAATGCCAGAGACATCTTCTGTAGTGATGTCTCTTAGGTAGTGATTAGCAAATACCATGTTAGATTTCCAATAGCATCCTTCCATAATCGTGTTCAAGGAACAGTTACCGTGTAGTAGGGCGAGGGTAGAGGCCAGTGCCCTGATCTCATGTGGATTTGATGCTGTTGGTGGGTCCAAGCCTGCTGCCTTGTAGGCAACGGAGAATGACAGTCCTTATCCAAATAGATATTGTGGTCCGTGACACTTCTGTTTGATTAAGTAGGCGATAAGGGGATGAATAAACGTTTGAAATCTTCTCCTTGTTTTGGATCGTCAGTAAATAAACTTTGAGCTCTTACCGGACACAGTGATAGGTCTTGTGTATCTTGTGATCCGAGAATAGAGGATAGCGCCCGGGATGTGGAATAATCTGTCTGGTTGACCTGGCAGTTGATTTTTTTTGATGAAATCCCATCTTAATCCGAGGTGCGCTGTGTTATGATTGTCATCAAACTGTATCCTCTCGTAATCCAGAGCGTGAATTTCAGACATTCTTGCTGCTGTGGCTAGCGATAGCAGAAACAGTGTTTTCTGTGAGAGAAATTCAAAGTTTGTCGATTCCAAAGGTTCATAGACCTCACTCGTGAGGTGTTGTAACACTACATTCAGATCCCAAGCTGGGAAGTGGAACTTCCGCTTTTGGTCCTCCAATCGAAAGCTTCGTAGTAAGGCCAGTAACTCTGGAGATCTTGTCAATTTGACACCCGTTCTCATGGTGATTACAGAACTAAGCGCGGCAAGATATGTTGATATCGTTGAACCTTTTAAATGTTTGTTTTGGCGTAGGTAACACAAATAGTCTGCCACTTGAGGTTGTGAAGCCTCTCTTGCTGTAAACCCTTTCTTTGTTGCATAATTTTCAAACTGTGCCACTTGTCGCCGTACAAGGCCACGAGTTGAGTAATGTAAGGCAAGCGTGACTGCTTTTGCCGCCCTGGCAGAATATCCTCTCTTGTTTAAACACATTTGTATACAGTCCATACGTGTAGTTGGAACATTTCTGGGTTTTCGTGCACTTGTTTGGTGTGAGGATGAATTAACAGGTTTGGCGCTTGGGTAGCTCCAGTGTTGGTTGACCGATTTCTTGAATTAGTATGGAAACCACGTTCTGGCCGGCCAGTAGAGCGCGACCAAAGTGAGTTGTAGGCTCTGTGTTTGTCTGATTTTCTGTAATACTTGAGGTATTATTGCTGGCGGCGGAAACGCGTGCACGCATTGAGGCCTTCCATGATAGACTTAGAGTCCGTTGCCCAAGCTTGGGGTCTGGGACTGGTGACACGAATGTCGGTAGCTGATTGTTGAATCGCGCGGGCGAATAGGTCTATTAGCGGCGCTCCTAATTGCTTGATTATCTGTGCAAAATTTCCCTGTTGATCATCCACTCTGTCGGTGATGGTAGATGAGGCCGAGAGAGAGCGTCTGCTAGTATATTTCTGGCTCCGGGAATGTGCACTGCTCTGACATGTAGATTTAGATCTTGTATTAAATCCGAACAGTTGAAAGCTTAGGTTCAAAAAGGTTCATCGATCTCGTTGAGCCTTGCTTGTTTATGTAGAACGCCACTGTCGAATTGTCTGTATGGATCATTAGGCGCCGCATTTTGTAGAAATGTGCTCCAATGTAGAATGGCGTTGATTACAGCTTTCATTTCTAGACTGTTTATATGGAGTTTGCATTCTTGCTGATTCCATAACCCTGATATCGTGTGGTTGGTGAGATGAGCTCCCCAACCTTGGAGTAACGCTGCGTCTACATACAGATGGGTTTTGTATTCCTGCTCTGCTAAACAAATCCCTTCGCAGACATTCGATTTCTTGGTCCACCATAGTAGATGCGGTCTGAGATGTTTCGGTAGACTGAATGGTTGTACATCGTTGAGATGTGCGTTGATGAGACCTGTAGGGGGCGTAACTGTAATCTGCCTGTGACAGTCATGTCTTGGGCTGATGTGAGAAGACCTAGTAGGCTCTGCCATTGTCGCGAGTGGTAGCGGAGAGAGTAGAGCTGGTGGAATGGTCTGCTGTATCTTGAGCCAGCGGTCTTCTGGTACCATAATACGGTTGCGATTTGTGATGAATCGAATACCTAGGAACTGCAGGTCTTGCGATGGTACTAGGTCCCGACTTGCGTAAGTTTACTAACCAACCTAGTTGTGTTAGTAGCTTTATGATGTAATTTAACTGTAGTTTGAGGCGCGGTGGATCTTGATCTACTTGTATCCCGTCGCCGAGGTAAAAGCGCACTCGTAGCCCTTTGACGATGTAGAAATTTGATAATCGGTTTCGTTATCCTCGTGAATAGCCAGGGGCTGATGATATTCGAATGGGAGTACTTTCCACTGGTAATGTAGCCCTTCTAGAGTAAATCGTAGGTATTTCCTGGAATCGGGATGAATGGGGATGTGCAGGTAGGCATCCTGTAGATCTATGCTGCCCATGTAGTCCATAGGACCGAATCATCTGGCGTAACTGAGGTAAATGTATCATCTTGAAAAACCGATGGTTTCATTAGATAGTTCTTGTTGAAAAGCTCATGTTGTAGATGAGTCTGTATTTCTCCGTGGAGTTTTTCTTGGGAACTAGGAAAACTGGGGAGTAGAAACCTGGTTCGACGTTTGCTTGATCTATTACTTCTATGGCCTGTTTGGATAGGAGTGATGAAACAGCCTCTCTTATCTTTGGTAGTTGTTGCTTGTAAATCGAACTTGGGGGTTTGATTGTCAGCGGAGGCTTGGCCTGTAGAGGGATCACGAAAATCCGTGTTGAAGAATGTTGGAGGCGTAAGGGTCTTGCAATATTCCCCAGTTTTCCCAGTGTAGTTGGAGGTCCACCCACTTGAGCTGGCTGTACTGGAACGGCTGGGGGTGGAAGACTCCAGTCGTTCGAACCTGTGTTTCAGCGTCTATAATTGCGGGAACCTCTGGGTGTCCTGCCTCTTCCTGATCCTCCTCTATAGTTGCCATATGGGCGTGAAAAAGAATCTTACCTCTAGAGCTGGCTATCTTCCTGTCTCTTGCTCTTTGTAGGCCCGTGAACTTAGATCTGCTTGAGTATCTTTGTGAAGTCTGACGAATGGCGCTGGCTAGTGTGTCCATCGATCTAATCATAAGGACTTCCCTGGAATCCTTAGAGACTTCCTTGGCGACTTTTGTCGATTTCTCCGTCAAAGATGGATGTTGTCGACCAGGGGGCTGTATAAAGTGGGGCTGTAAAGTTCTCCCCAATTACAGGAGGCGAGGAGGCCTTGACGACGAAAAGGTCAGTGCTGCTGAAACAGATGTAAGATGATCCGTTAAAACTGCTGATCTTTCTTTTGCATAAGTAAGGCAGAATAAATCATTCTATCATCTTCCGTCGTGGAATCCCGAATCTAGTAATAAGAGTCTCATTGATCGTCCTAGATCTATTTAACCCAAAGAACATCGTCTGGAGTCATGGTTTCTATATGAGCCAACTTGCGATCATCCATCTTGTAAATCTTGTTCTTTACATCGCTGATGATCTTATAGTTCTCATCGATGTCCTGGGCCTTGTAGAAGGAGTCCATGTTATCGTGGAGAACTTCTTGGCTTGAAAGTTGGGCAGATGTGGTATCTGAACTTTCGTAGCTTTCTGGAAAGCTGCATCTAGATTCTGTGGCACTGCCGCAATCGGTCGATCGGGGTAGAGTGATTGCATCTGGATCATCTTCCTTCATCAAATCGCTCTATGCTGTATTGCCACTTTTAGATGGTGATGTGAGATCTAGGTTATTGACCATCCAATACCGTATCTCTGCATCAGAAAATATGATTCCTCCATCATCCTCAAAACCATCATCATTAACAAATTGTAGATGCTCTTCGGGACTGCGTGTAGCTGTCTGTATATCTGATGAGGTTTGTGGCGATCTAGTTGACTTGTGCGCCGCTCTATGTGGAGATCTGACGGGTGATCGGCCTGGTGATGAACGAAGTGGAGATCGTCTATGGGATGATCTTCTCGGAGACTTGTGAGGTGAATGTTGATAGCTTCGCGAAGCTCTTCGGCAGTCCCTCGATGTTCTTCTAGATGATGAGGATCTGGAATCATATGTCCTTCGCGAATGCCTTCGCGAAGCTTCATTTGCGTCCGGTCCGGGGGATCGATGATATGACCTTCGCGAAGGCCTCCGTGATGTCTGATGGTCTGAGTCCATATCTAGAGATGAAATCGAAGATGGTGATGATCTCTCCGCTTAGCGAAGGCCTTCGCTGAGGCTGTACATCTAGGTCCTTCGTCCAAGGTGGTGCGGGACTTCCTTTGGCCGAAGGTGACATCGTCTTGGCTGCTACGTTGGCCGGGGTGCCTCTGGGTGTGCTGTCACGTTGGAGCCTTCGCTGTTGCTCGGACCCTGCTTCGCGGTTTGTAGTGGTCCTCCATGATGTTCATAAACTGCATCATCATGTCTTCTGGGATGATCTGTGGACGAAGTCGTCGGCATCTTTTCTGCGATGGGGTTCACATCAATGACGCCTGACGCCGGTGTAGAGGCATCAGGCTGCATGGTGATCTCTGCAGAAGTCACAGTCGCTGACACCGGTCGCTTCTTCTGCCGTAAGTCGGGGATGATTATCGGCTGATCATCGTAGAGGCCCAATTCTGCTGCTGGAACGATCTCGCTGAGAAAGTTCTTGCTGTCTTCGTAGATTTCCCTTTGGAAGTCTGCGCTGCCCTGGGTGTCCTCAATCTGCGCGCTTGAGACGACGATGAGGCCCTCTTAGACTTGGTCTGCAATGACGGGATGTCTGGGGAGGCCGGTCGCTTCTTCGAGGTAACGGACTGCGCCCCATCGCCTTCCGCCGCAGAGGGGTCTCTAGCAGAACACCAGACGGAGAGGGTCGATCGCTAGCAGCTGACTGGATGGAATATCTGGACTCTCTGCCATGTTTTGCCCTTGTTTGCGTGATCTATCTGCAGCACGCCTTAAGACGCAAAGATGATATTTATTAAATGCAGAATGAGATAAATTAATGCAGTAACTGCAACGTGAATTAAACGCATACCGCGTAGAACAACTAGGGCATATTACATGTGGATCGGAGGCAGAAAAGCGTAATCTACAAATCGTATGATTTTCATCAACGTAAAGCTAGCTGAACAATCACGCGAATACACGCGAATAAACAGTAGAAATAACGATAATTAATCAATACAAATAGTAAAGGATACTAGCTATACCTCTATAGTAACCTATGAGAGGTAAAAACTAAGAGATTATCAAAGGATATGGTGTGTAAGGAGACACAAGGCGCTCTCACATCCTGCTCACTGGGCGAAGAAGGAGAGAGTGGAGCACATGGCCAGAGGGTGGCGACACCTTTCCCGCCAGGGGAGACAAAGGGGAGCAACTCGTGGTGAGTACCAATTAGTGATTTTATTTTGAAGGGAGCTTCAAATAAGGAGATACAAGTGTTCCACTATGTTCGCAAGAAGAAGAAGACAAGCAAAAGAGCATGAGTCAGGATAAGGAAAAATATGCTTCATGCATATATTTTAGCATTAAATATCGTGTCTGAGTGTGAAGTAAGCCGAGATGTCACTTGACTTACATCACACACAATCACACATATGTTCCTCGAAACATTGTTACCTTGCTCTTTGACACTTTGATGTGGACCCGTTGCAGAAGTATGTGTCCGAGAAAAATTGTTTTCAATAACATTGCGAAATATAGTTAATAATTGTAATTCTGTCCACAATATATGGTCATTTGCAATGTAATAAGTGTTTTCAAACATTGTGAAAAGTGATAGATTTAATAAATGAATGATGTTAGGTAGCTTCCTAAAATTCTACATCATTTTGATGCGACTACTGCTTGGCCGGTAAACTGGCCTACGGTGTTGAATGGGTTAGATTATGTCATCAATGGTGGGAGTGAAAGGTTCAAAGGTTTCTGAGGTCATGTTTACAGTGCTTGGCCACAGTGCAGGACAAAGAGGCTCACTTGACTTTCAGACAGGTGAGCTAATAATGGATGAGCAATAGGCAAAAGGGGGATTGAAGCCTTTTGTACAAATTGGGTGTCATCATTTGGTGAGAAAAAGCAAGTGGAGTTTCAGCTTCATTGGTCATGTAGTTTCTGAGGATTAGATGTTTACGATTGAGAAAGCTTACTCATCCAGTCACGTAATCAAACACTTGTTTGATTTCTTGCAGGAAAACCAAACTTATGGACTGGAATACTGATTAAGTTCTACTGTCTATAATTTGTTAAGCAAATAAAATACGCAATGAACCAATGAATGGTATAACTTACGTATATTGAGGAAGATTTTCATCATATGTAGATTTCACTGAAAACTGTTCAGCATTTGTTTTAAACATATCATTTGGATCCCAGCCATTCTACAAAAAAAGAGAAAAGAGAAAATATATTCAATAAATAATCACGTCAAAGTATACACAACTGCCTCAAATCTAAAAGAAATTGCACTGTTTTATGTTTTCAGAATGAACTTTTAGGATGGAAAAAAGCAGTTAAAATAAAGTGACACCATATCCTGGATAGTAAGAAATGTTCGCAAAAACAGACACTTCGTAAAGTTACAGTCAGTATTGGTATTCAAATATTTACTACACAGATAGTGAGAACTAAAAATTATCACAAAAATCATTACTTGTTTTACAAAATACATAAGAAGGAAAACCAAACAATGAGAAGTTCAGCTCCCTCTGTCTGGCTATTTCAGCATGTTCAGAGGTGAAGAAATTTACATGGAATGTGTCAAACTGATCCTGTTGTCTGGAACATGGTTTTCCTGTAGCCTTAATGGTGTTTTGTATGCTCTTGCTTCTCTTGAACTTTTTGAAGTCCCTTCTATCCAAACTTGACTGCTTTATCAGACCATATGAGTGACAACTCTGGTCACAGCATCCAATGGACTAAAATATCAAAGCCCTAACAACCAATCTTAAAGACATAAAAATTAGATCAATCTAAGAATCAAATCCACCTTGATCAAAGCTATTATGTACCTCCAGCTTACAATAAACTTGTCAAAAATTCCAGTCAGTCATAATTTTCTTGTTTATACTAAACTACACAACAATCCATCCAATTGTTTGAACCAACACAGAACATGGAGCCTGCTTAAATAAAAAAGTTGTTCAAAATCAAAAATGGAGTTTGGCATTTTATACCCCATATTTTGCACAATGCCATTGGATACCTACACTTAGTCAACAATAAACAAAAGCTGTTCAGTATTTTATACATCCCAAATCATTATCCAGTTTACCACTTGACTGATCTGTAAAACATGTTTCAGAAGAAATATTCAATGGTCCAGCAACAGAATGAGGACTCATAAAGGGGTGGGGAAAACATTCCAAAGTGATAAAAACATTGGAAAACAACATCTCATAAGATTGATGGATGAACTATTTTACACTGGTAGGGAACTTGGTCACAGTGAGAGGGGAGTCTTTGTGATTTTTGCGTCGGAAACTTTATGATTTCACAGAGTCTTTATGATTTTAGCATCAGCAAGGGAAGGGTAAGGTACGGTAAATGGCCTGTATGCCTACAATATGAATATTACAAGAGAGTTGAATTCACATTTACTTACATTAGGTTTCGATCAGTTACAAATAAATATTATGATGTTCAGAAAGCGACTGATAATCATGTAAAACCATTGTCACGAAATTAATCCTTTTTGATAAATAATCGGTATATTGTTAAAAATCACCCCATAAAGAAGTGTACAAATAATACAATGTGTTCCGATTAGTGCTTATCCCCTTTCATCATAAAGCATGTGCTGTTTTATCAGCGAAAAAATGCGTACATTCCCAATCACAAAATGGAGAGACAGGGTATGATTCGTCCCATCTGGACAGTGAATCGGATTTGGATGTGTCTTTGAACATATCTGAAACATCACCTTTATTGAAACATTACCATGGCCTGCAAAGAGCCCCAATATGAACCCCATCAAACATTTTGAGGACTATCTTGGATGCCAAGTTTGAGTTAGAGATCCTCCTGTTAAAATCTGAATGTTTTAACACAGTCATTCTATGAGGAATGACAAAGGATTCCAATGCTGAGAATTCGACGCTTGATTGGCAGTATGAAGAGGAGACTGGCAAATGTTATCCATGTGAGGGGTGGAAACACCAAGTGTTGACTTGATCACCAATTCACTGTCCAGATTGGACGAATCATACCCCATCTACTCCATTTCGTGATTGAGAACTAGATGTGACAATGAGTGAATTTTCCGTTAGATCAATTTTGTAATCACAAAGTTTCTGTGACATGAGACAAATGCATGGAAATTGATATGTATGCTTTTTTTCGCTGATAAAACAGCACATGCTTTAAAATGAAAGGGGATAAACACTAATCGGAACACATTGTATTATTTGTACACTTCTTTATGGGGTGATTTTTCACAATATACCGATTATTTATCAAAAAGGATTAATTTCGTGACAATGGTTTTACATGGCTACCAGTCACTTTCTGAACATAACATTTATTTGTAACTGATCGAAACCTAATGTAAGTAAATGTGAATTCAACTCTCTTGTAATATTCATTTTGTGGGCATACAGGCCATTTACCGTACCTTACCCTTTCCTTGCTGATGCTAAAATCGCAAAGACTCTGTGACATATCGCAAAGTTTCCGTCGCAAAAACCACAAAGACTCCCCTCTCACTGTGACCAAGTTCCCTGCCAGTGTTTTAAGGAATTGTTGAATCCAGTACATGAAACAAAAGACAGAAAGAGAATATTCTCTGAGGGGGTAACTTGTGTTTTTGGCAAATCATGAATCTACTTCTTGTACAGCATGCATAGATGATAATGAGATTTTATTTCAAAAGAAAAGTTTTCCATGCAAAATGTAACCTTGAACCACGGAAGTCACCCTCCTCTATTTCCGTAGGCCCTCGATTTTGACAAACATTTTACCAACCAATGAAACGATGACACAAGGGAAATGGTGAGGCTGGTAACTTACACAGTCTAAGAAAACTTAGGCTCAGTATTATTCGTTACACTGCTATACTGAGTCTAACAATCCATAGTGGAAGGTCAGCTAACCTTTTGGACTGACCAATCAGAACACAGCTTACCAAATCGCGAAAGTTAACATTTGCACATACCGTTTGAACCTTTACCTTTACGATTCCGAATGCTATTTTCCGCATGATCGCTTCGGAGTGATACACATGGAGGATGCAATGAGTAAACAGTCACTGAACATACCGCTTTTGTCAATATTCAAGGATGTCATCTTGCGGAAATATAACCTAATAGTAACCATGTCATTACAAACCCCTAAGCGTATATATACTGCAGGTCAAATATCTGTGTTTTATGCGGATTTTCATTTGTTGATAGCGTTTTTTGGATTTTCTCTTCCCTGGTCGCTGACACTGATCTGATCAGTGTCAGCGACCAGGGAAGAGAAAATCCAAAAAACGTTTTGTAAGTTCCGCCGAACCCTAACAAGTAGTCGTTGTCTGGTTAAATCCGTTCGGCCACCACGCGTTTGATTGGACGGTCATAGGTCGTTCAAAGGTTAGCTGACGCAACCTTCTACTAAGGTTTGTTAGACTCAGTATAGAAGTGCAACGAATAATACTGAGCCTAAGTTTACTTACACTGGTAACTTATATTACCTTGCAACTGAAGCCACCTCCATTTTTTATGAACGTGAATGCTTTCTTTTGTGAGTTAGTCAGATTCTCAATACAACAAGTAGATACCTTGAGTCAAGTAAGCATGAATTAAATTATAAATATTGACACTTTTCTTTCTGACAACCTCAGATAATAGCATAAAATTCAAAATCATGAAGCTGAAGTTTTTATAGAACTAACTTATGACTGATAACTACTTACTGATGAATCGTTTTCCATTAGACTAATATCATCTCCAGTATCTCCTTCCCATGGCTGCAATTCCCTGACTTCTCTATCATAGGACTGGCCATTGAAGCGGCTTATTGCTGTGTCAGTGAATGTATCTGCAAAGAAGAATCATTTCATTTCACCTGTGATCAAATGTAGACATCAAATGAGAAAATGTTACATGAAAGACCAATCCCACCGCCCCATCAACCGCACAATAACTTACATATCCCTTAATTTCAATGCACAGTTCATAAATATCTCAAGTTATTATGTACATAAGCTTTGTTTACTTTGACCTTAAAACTTTTTCTACAGGTGTTATAGGAAAATCAGTAATTTAATCTAAAACATTCATTAAGTACATCTAAGACAAAATACTACTTACACAGTACTAAGGACTAAGGAACTGACTTTGCCTAATGTAACACATTGCAATGTCTTCACATTGATCACAAACATGCTCTTATGCATTATTCAAATTCAGGATTATGGCCCTAAGACTCCGAACAGGTTCCATGATTGTTTTCTATTTCAGGGCCAGAATAAGTGGAGAGTAGAATGCTAAACTGTCTCTTATTCTTCCTGTGTGCACATGGCTGAAATAAATAGATGGTTGTATCTAGTCCATGCACTTTCTTGTAAACAGTCTTATGTTACAGATTTCCAACACAAAGTTGACATTGTCTTGAAATCCAGTAGCCTGGAATCACAGTCTGTTTCAAAAGGCAATAAGATTTCAAGTAACAGGATTCAGGGTCTCCTTTCACGAAGCAACCTTTACTAAGGTTAACCATAACTCCCATTCTTTAACACTGGACTAAGGTTACCTTAGTGACTTACGATCACCTTAGTGCTTTGTGAAAGGAGTCCCTGGTAAATAGTTATTTCTTTTCCCTCAATCGCGACTGAATGTCTTCTCCTAGGTGGCTCCCTTTTTTCAGGTTCTGCAGGATGTTTAAATGCTCTTGCAGCTGAGATGAGTTAATAATACCATGTTCGCATACTGTATGATACACATGATTTACATATCTGAGTATATTTACATATAAGCAAATATACAAATATGTGTAGATGTAAAGTTACTATGTGTTTGCATGGTAATTAAGCAAGGTAAGTAAATAGGATGTGTAAAATGTAATTTTTAGATTAAAATTGATATTTTATACTTATCCTGACTCATGCTTAATTGCTTGTCTCTTTCTTCTTGCGAATGATAGTGGAACACTTGAATCCCCTTTTGAAGCTCCCTTCAAAAAAGCAGACTTAAAATCACTCACCCAGTGTTATCTCCCTTGTGACTCTTTTGGCGGGAAAATGGGTCACATGATCAGATATGCCCCTCACTCTCTCCTGAATAAGCGCCCGACACCTGGATTACAGGGAATCCAGAGATGCTTAGAGCATCTGTTGCCCATGCTTGTGGATCCGGAACCAGAGAGACAAATTTTGGTAGTTGTTTGCTGAACTTTGTAGCAAACAGGTCTCTCAGTGGATATCCTATCCTCTGTATGATGCATCTGAAGACTTCTGGATTTAACATCCATTCCGTTGGCGATGGTTGTGTTGGACGAGATAGGGCATCTGCTATCACATTCTTGGCTCCGGGAATGTGACATGCTTTTAAGTCGACGTTCAGGTTGTCTATTATGCTGAACAGATGAACGCTGAGGTCTAGAAGATTCCATGACCTTGATCCTTGTTTGTTGATGTAGAACGCCACTGTGGAGTTGTCCGTATGGATCATCAGTTGTGCGTTCCTTAGTATGCTGGACCAGTGTAGTAAGGCGTTTATTACTGCTTTCACGTCGAGCATGTTCATGTGCAGACTCTGCTCCTGACTCGACCATTTCCCTGCTGCCACGTCGTTGTCGAGGTGGGCTCCCCATCCTTCAAGTGATGCATCTACGTAGAGATGAGAGTTGCACTCCGACTCTGATAAGTAGTTTCCTCCACAAACATTAGACTTCCGAGTCTACCATAGAAGATATGGTTTCAGCCCGTCCGGAAGTCCGAAGGAGTCCAGACTGTCTAGATGAGCGTTCATGAACACTTGTAGTGGGCGCAGTTGTAGTCTTCCTCTGTGTATCATGTCTTGTGCTGACATGAGAAGAGCTTTAGGCTCTGCCAACTTCGTAGTGGTAACGGAGAGAGTAGTGCTTGAGATATCATTTGTTGTATCTTGACCCAACGATCCTCTGAGACGACCATGCGATTCTGTGGTGAGATGAACATCTTCCCAGAAATCTGCTCATACCCTACGTTGTAGGTAAGTAGATAGTGGAACCCTTGCCATGTCCGTAATAGAAACGGAGTAATGTCCGGTTCTGGAATCATGACTTGAAGTTTATTTCTTCAATCTTCAGATAATATGTTAAGAAGACTTGTCCCCAGAATCCCAACAAAGTAAAATGATGATGCATAATTCGTCGTCTCTAGATGTACTGGAACTGCCATCGCTTTGAAGTCTATTTATAGTAGACTGGCTGCCTTGAGCAAAAATCGTCAAACGTATGTTGCTGCAAATCGCAGGATAAACAATCTCAATCTGCTGACAGGTAAGGTCCTTATGACCCGTGGAGACGGTCGAAACACGCTGTACCCTGCTAACTTGACTGTAAATGGAGCCTTTCTCCCACGTTGAAAAGTTGTTTACACCTGTAGACGACTTCCTGGTATGTGAGCTATGCCCGACTTCTGCGCAAGGCGTTGTCTCTCATGGACCAATCAAATTGCAGCATTTGATTCATCTCAGATTCCCGTGATGTGACGTCACCAGTGTTGCAGGAAAAAGATCCTTGTAAAATCTTGTGCAGTTGTTGATTTCTTCATCAACACTCGGCATTGTCCGTAATCTCCAAGAGTTAAACAGGTGAACACGTGTATAGCAGGCTGAGTGGAAAACGCCCGAAGGATTTCGCCGCGTAATACCGATGTAAGTAGACTGTCTCCCTGGCTGTTGTGATTGTTTCCTTCTTCACTGAAAATAATGTAATCGTCACCTTATACAGATGATCAGCTGAAGTTCATACTTGCTTAACCCTTTCAACACCGCAGAGCCGCTTTAAGCTGCCACAACGCTATGAGTCCCCAGATTACCGAGGAGGCAGCTTTGCCGCCAGGCAGTAGTCAGCCAAAATGAGACATAATTTTAGGAACTTACCTGACTTATGATTCATATATTAAATCCATCACATTTCACAATGTCTGGAAACACTTATTAAATTTCAATTGATCATATATTATCGGGTAGAATTAAAATTATAAACTATTTTTCGCAATGTAATTGAAAAACAACGATTCTCGACACATGCTTCGAGCGGGTCCACAATAACATTGTCAAAGAGCAAAGTAACGATGTTTCGAGGAAATGATTAAATAAATAGAATAAACTAATGAATAAAATCAACAACAGCATTCATAAAGTTGTCAAACGTACATATAAAAATTACTTTTTCCATCTTTTTGTGTGCGATCATGTAATGCAAGTCAAATCACTGACAAGTGACATCTCGGCTCTCACTCAATCTTCACGCCGACACGATGTTTAATGCGAAAATATATGCATGAAGCATTTTTGTCACAGGTCATAACCTAGCACGATACGTCCAATAAGTCCCATAATTTACGATATGTAGCGATTTCTTGCTTAATATGTTCAGAATAGCATTATTTTACCCAAAACTTTCGCCTAAATCTAAAACATTTCGCTTACTGAGGGCGTATCCATTGCCGTAATATGATTGGCTGCCTTAGGTCAATGCGGTCTGATTTTGACCAATCACGACCCTTATAGCAGACTGTAGCTAAAAGCGCCATTAGAAACCAATTTTTATCCAATAAAATCGCTTCTTACAACTGTGAAAATACTCGGCAAGGGTTCAGTGATGTTGTTGATGTTCAGAGCTTCGAACGATACCCGCATCAAACGATTCGCCTCCCATGTTATTCATAATGGCTTCAAAACGGAGGTATTTTCCGTTGTTATGTCATGTTACCGGCGGAAAGCCACAGATATCGGGAAATAGGCTTACCATACATATTATTTAAGAAATCTTTTTATAATAATTTTCTGATTACGTAAAAGTGAAAATATAAAAGAAAAAGGCACGGGCATGTTATGACATGTCACAAATGGAAAAAAATCGCTTTAGTTTTTGCTTCTTTCGTGGTCTATCTGGACGTTATAAATGTAAGCTTGCATTTTCATTCAAAATAATTTTATTTAAGTTGTAGTTGTATTATTTGAATAATATTATAAAAATAAACTTCATATTTATCAACATTAGGATTAGATCTTTTAAATGGTGTATGGGATGTAGTAGCAATAACGTTTTGCAAGCTTATAATTTCCTTCATAAACATAGGCTTCATCTATGACCTCAGAGTCTCTGGGAACTCGGTGTCATGGCAGTAAATGCCTCTGGTTGACTGGTGTTGAAAGAGTTAATGCTGTTATTTCTAGACTGTAGTCATCGGTCTCAATGAAGCGCCATAAAATAATCAAATGTGTTGAATACATAAAGGTTCTTGTAGTACGATGACCGTGACAAACGATGTCACGCTGAGGACTGCGACAATGCCAATGCTAGGCCAGTGATAACTGTCAAGCTGTCCCCTGCCTCACAAGAGTCAAGCGCGCGCGCTGATGTATAAATTCTGAAATGGGAGTCGTAGATGAACTTGTAGTTCTCATCAATCTCTGGAGCCTTCCTGAAGGTTTCCATGTGAAGTAGTGGGAATTTCCGGGCGTTGAACGTCGGGACACGTTGACTCTGGAACTTCGTAGCCTTACCAAGGATGCGCTGAGTTTCTCCGGTACTTGAGCTATCAGGTCGATAGGTGAAAGGTGAACGTATCAAATCATCGTTAGATAACTTGTACGTGAGTGCTTCTGATCCACGACGACGTGAGTCCCTGCCTGTCTGAAGACCTGCGCGCAGGTGAACGGTTGGAATATGAATCTTCCCATGAATCTTGAGACGTACCCCTCTGCCTTCGTAAGGTGTGGATTCTCTTCTCCGTGATGAGGAGTGCCTGCACGCAGGCTCACAACGAAGATCCGCGTCTGAAGGTGAAGATCATCCATGTGACCGACTTCTGCGATACTCTGGAG